GGCCAGTCCCTGTGCTCCTCAGAGTCCCAGCAGGAGTCCAATCCCTGTGCTCCTCAGAGTCCCAGCAGGAGTCCAGTCCCTGTGCTCCTCAGAGTCCCAGCAGGAGTCCAGTCCCTGTGCTCCTCAGAGTCCCAGCAGGAGGCCAGTCCCTGTGCTCCTCAGAGTCCCAGCAGGAGTCCAGTCCCTGTGCTCCTCAGAGTCCCAGCAGGAGGCCAGTCCCTGTGCTCCTCAGAGTCCCGGCAGGAGGCCAGTCCCTGTGCTCCTCAGAGTCCCAGCAGGAGCCAGTCCCTGTGCTCCTCAGAGTCCCAGCAGGAGGCCAGTCCCTGTGCTCCTCAGAGTCCCAGCAGGAGGCCAGTCCCTGTGCTCCTCAGAGTCCCGGCAGGAGTCCAGTCCCTGTGCTCCTCAGAGTCCCAGCAGGAGTCCAGTCCCTGTGCTCCTCAGAGTCCCAGCAGCAGGCCAGTCCCTGTGCTCCTCAGAGTCCCAGCAGCAGGCCAGTCCCTGTGCTCCTCAGAGTCCCAGCAGGAGTCCAATCCCTGTGCTCCTCAGAGTCCCAGCAGGAGTCCAGTCCCTGTGCTCCTCAGAGTCCCAGCAGGAGTCCAGTCCCTGTGCTCCTCAGAGTCCCAGCAGGAGGCCAGTCCCTGTGCTCCTCAGAGTCCCAGCAGGAGTCCAGTCCCTGTGCTCCTCAGAGTCCCAGCAGGAGGCCAGTCCCTGTGCTCCTCAGAGTCCCGGCAGGAGGCCAGTCCCTGTGCTCCTCAGAGTCCCAGCAGGAGTCCAGTCCCTGTGCTCCTCAGAGTCCCAGCAGGAGGCCAGTCCCTGTGCTCCTCAGAGTCCCGGCAGGAGGCCAGTCCCTGTGCTCCTCAGAGTCCCAGTCTCAGCGGTGTTCTGGTCTCAGGGATGTTCTAGTCTCAGGGATGTTCTAGTCCCAGGGATGTTCTAGTCCCAGGGATGTTCTAGTCCCAGGGATGTTCTAGTCTCAGGGATGTTCTAGTCTCAGCGGTGTTCTAGTCTCAGGAATGTTCTAGTCTCAGGGATGTTCTAGTCTCTTTGAAGACCGCAGTGAGAAAAACTGGGTCGCGCTCCTCACACCTCGGATCATGAATAATTCATTCAGCCTCGAGCTCAAAAGGAAAGTTTTTGTGTTTGTTTATTACAGACACAGAGACACAGAGAGACACAGAGACAGAGACACAGAGAGACACTGAGACACAAAGACACAGAGACACACAGACACAGAGAGACAGAGACACACAGACACAGAGACACAGAGAGACACTGAGACACAAAGACACAGAGAGACAGAGACACAGAGACACACAGAGACACACAGACACAGAGAGACAGAGACACACAGACACAGAGACACAGAGAGACACTGAGACACAAAGACACAGAGACACACAGACACAGAGAGACAGAGACACAGAGACACACAGACACAGAGAGACACAAAGACACAGAGACACACAGACACAGAGACACAAAGACACAGAGACACACAGACACAGAGAGACAGAGACACAGAGACACACAGACACAGAGAGACACAGAGACACAGAGACACAGAGAGACAGAGAGACACTGAGACAGAGAAACACAGAGACAGAGACACACAGAGAAACACAGAGACACACAGAGACAGAGACACACAGAGAAACACAGAGACACAAAGACACAGAGACACACAGAGACACACAGAGACACAGAGAGACACAGAGACACACAGAGAAACACAGAGACACACAGAGACAGAGACACAAAGACACAGACACAGAGAGACACATCACAGAGACACAACCCCCCCACGATATTATATATAAATATCATATATATTTATATACATGATGTATAAATATCATATATATTTATATACATGATGTATAAATATCATATATATTTATATACATGATGTATAAATATCATATATATTTATATACATGATGTATAAATATCATATACATTTTGAGGAGACGAGCGAGTAGACTATTGAAAACTGATGTGAAAGAAGAAAAGTCAGGAGCTTATTCCAGATCCAACTGAAACTTGACCAATGAATGTTTTTGCCTCTAACTCCTCCTGCATCTTTCATAAAGGACAGAAGGGACTGGAGCACAGGGACTGGAGCACAGGGACTCTTGTCAGCTCCAAGCAGCGTCAAATTTCACTTTCTGACAACGGCTCAAGATGGGCCAGGACTGAGCCGGGACTGAGCGGGGACTGAGCGGGGACTGAGCAGGGACTGAGCCAGGACTGAGCCAAGACTGAGCCAGGACTGAGCCAGGACTGAGCCAGGACTGAGCCAGGACTGAGCCAGGACTGAGCCAGGACTGAGCCAGGACTGAGCCAGGACTGAGCCAGGACTGAGCGGGGACTGAACTTTTGACCTGAACAAAACACCCAAAAGTAAATGACAACAGCAACTGTATCAGAACCTTAGAACCTGGAGCTATCGTGACATTAATGTTATTTTTATATATATATATATATATATATATACTGTATATATACACACATACACATATAGTGGGGCAAAAAAGTATTTAGTCAGCCACCGATTGTGCATTGTGTCTGTGAGAGACAGAATGTGAAAATAAAATCCAGGAATTCACATTGTAAGAATTTTTAAAGAATTTATTTGTAAATTATGGTGGAAAATAAGTATTTGGTCAAAAACAAAAATTCTACTCAATACTTTGTAATATAACCTTTGTTGGCAATAACAGGTCAAACGATTACTATAGGTCTTTACCAGGTTTGCACACACAGTAGCTGGTATTTTGGCCCATTCCTCCATGCAGATTTTCTCGAGAGCAGTAATGTTTTGGGGCTGTCGCCGAGCAACACGGACTTTCAACTCCCTTCACAGATGTTCAATGGGGTTGAGGTCTGGAGACTGGCGAGGCCACTCCAGGACTTTCAAATGCTTCTTACGGAGCCACTCCTTCGTTGCCCGGGCGGTGTGTTTGGGATCATTGTCATGCTGGAAGACCCAGCCACGTTTCATCTTCAAAGCTCTCACTGATGGAAGGAGGTTTTGGCTCAAAATCTCACGATACATGACCCCATTCATTCTTTCCTTAACATGGATCAATCGTCCTGTCCCCTTAGCAGAAAAACAGCCCCAAAGCATGACGTTTCCACCCCCATGCTTCACAGTAGGTATGGTGTTCTTCTTCCTCCAAACACGACGAGTTGAGTTTATACCAAACAGTTGTACTTTGGTTTCATCTGACCACATGACATTCTCCCAATCCTCTGCTGTATCATCCATGTGCTCTCTGGCAAACTTCAGACGGGCCTGGACATGCACTGGCTTCAGCAGGGGACACGTCTGGCACTGCAGGATTTGATTCCCTGTCGTCGTAGTGTGTTACTGATGGTAGCCTTTGTTACTTTGGTCCCAGCTCTCTGCAGGTCATTCACCAGGTCCCCCCGTGTGCTTCTGGGATTTTTGATCTGTACTCGGACATGCTGCGTCTTTAACCTTCATATGTCCGACTGTACTCGGACATGCTGCATCTGTAACCTTCATGTGTCCGACTGTACTCTGACATGCTGCGTCTGTATCCTTCATGTGTCCGACTGTACTCTGACATGCTGCGTCTTTAACCTTCATGTGTCCGACTGTACTCTGACATGCTGCGTCTTTAACCTTCATGTGTCCGACTGTACTCTGACATGCTGCATCTGTAACCTTCATGTGTCTGACTGTACTCTGACATGCTGCGTCTTTAACCTTCATGTGTCCGACTGTACTCTGACATGCTGCGTCTTTAACCTTCATGTGTCCGACTGTACTCTGACATGCTGCGCCTTTAACCTTCATGTGTCCGACTGTACTCTGACATGCTGCGTCTGTATCCTTCATATGTCCGACTGTACTCTGACATGCTGCGTTTGTATCCTTCATATGTCCGACTGTACTCTGACATGCTGCGTCTGTATCCTTCATATGTCCGACTGTACTCTGACATGCTGCATCTTTAACCTTCATGTGTCCGACTGTACTCTGACATGCTGCGTCTGTATCCTTCATATGTCCGACTGTACTCTGACATGCTGCGTTTGTATCCTTCATATGTCCGACTGTACTCTGACATGCTGCATCTGTAACCTTCATGTGTCCGACTGTACTCTGACATGCTGCGTCTGTATCCTTCATATGTCCGACTGTACTCTGACATGCTGCGTCTGTATCCTTCATATGTCCGACTGTACTCTGACATGCTGCGTCTGTGACCTTCATATGTCCGACTGTACTCTGACATGCTGCGTCTGTATCCTTCATATGTCCGACTGTACTCGGACATGCTGCGTCTTTAACCTTCATGTGTCCGACTGTACTCTGACATGCTGCATCTTTAACCTTCATGTGTCCGACTGTACTCTGACATGCTGCGTCTGTATCCTTCATATGTCCGACTGTACTCTGACATGCTGCGTCTGTATCCTTCATATGTCCGACTGTACTCTGACATGCTGCGTCTGTGACCTTCATATGTCCGACTGTACTCTGACATGCTGCGTCTGTATCCTTCATATGTCCGACTGTACTCTGACATGCTGCGTCTATGACCTTCATATGTCCGACTGTACCCGGACATGCTGCGTCTGTATCCTTCATATGTCCGACTGTACTCTGACATGCTGCGCCTGTAACTTTCATATGTCCGACTGTACTCGGACATTCTGTGTCTGTATCCTTCATATGTCCGACTGTACTCAGACATGCTGCATCTGTGACCTTCATGTGTCCGACTGTACTCTGACATGCTGCGTCTGTATCCTTCATATGTCCGACTGTACTCTGATATGCTGCGTCTGTAACCTTCATATCTCCGACTGTACTCGGACATGCTGCGTCTGTAACCTTCATATCTCCGACTGTACTCGGACATGCTGCGTCTGTAACCTTCATATGTCCGACTGTGCTCTGATATGCTGCGTCTGTATCCTTCATATGTCCGACTGTACTCGGACATGCTGCGTCTGTAACCTTCATATGTCCGACTCTACTCGGACATACTGCGTCTGTAACTTTCATATGTCCGACTGTAACAGGACTCGACTTCTGAGAAACTAGAGGTTTAAGAACCGTGACCTGCTCCAGTGACAAGAACCAGTAACAACACGAGTCTCAGCTCTGCTTTTGTACATAGGACAGCTACAACAACTAGCACAGCTAGCACAGCTGCAACAACTAGCACAGGTACAACAACTATATCAACTAGCACAGGTACAGCAACTATATCAGCTAGCACAGGTACAACAACTATATCAACTAGCACAGGTACAGCAACTATATCACCTAGCACAGCTACACCAGCTACACCAGCTGGCACAGAACAAGGCGGGAGACATTTCAATTAATGCCCCTTTGAATGTTTACCTCCACTTCCCCAAACCCCCGCCTCACCCCCAACTCACCCCCAGCTCACCCTCCTTACCCCCTCCCCGTCGAGTGCTGGAGGGTCTGGCTCCACGACCAATTAAATCCAGTGCCGACAGCAATGGACCAATGAGGAGAGGCCTCTTCCCCTTTAGCCGTGGACGTGCTAACGCAGAACAGATGGAAAAGATGTGTGTGTTTAGATATGTGTGCCTGTATATGTGTGTATCTGTATATGTGTGTGTCTATATATGTGTGTGTCTCTCTCAGATTAACTTTTTCGTAGGCGCAGTGCTCTCAGTTTTACGAGTGTGAGAGTCGCCAGCTCTGGGATTATACGAGAGAGAAGTGTGTGCCTGTGTGTGTGTGCGTGTGTGTGTGTGCGCGTGCATGTGTTAAAGTTTGTAGGAGAAAGAGTTTTGAAGAAGTTAAAAGATTACACAGATTTAACAAAGATTTAACCCTTTGTACTGGCATGCCACATCTCTCTGTTTTTGATTATTCAAAAGATTCTCATATTTCTTGTCTTTAAATCACCAAAAACACAAGTAGTTGATTCTATTTAGAATCACAGAATTAGGAGACCAGTGCGAGTCAGAACGAGTTAGCCACATCAGCAAGAGTTAGACGCATTACCAAGAGTTATCCTGAGTTTGACATTCTAGCACAGAGACCTGAGACCAGGACTAATGTGAGAGGACTTCAGGACAGAGACCTGAGACCAGGACTAATGTGAGAGGACTTCAGGACAGAGACCTGAGACCAGGACTAATGTGAGAGGACTTCAGGACAGAGACCTGAGACCAGGACTAATGTGAGAGGACTTCAGGACAGAGACCTGAGACCAGGACTAATGTGAGAGGACTTCAGGACAGAGACCTGAGACCAGGACTAATGTGAGAGGACTTCAGGACAGAGACCTGAGACCAGGACTAATGTGAGAGGACTTCAGGACAGAGACCTGAGACCAGGACTAATGTGAGAGGACTTCAGGACAGAGACCTGAGACCAGGACTAATGTGAGAGGACTTCAGGACAGAGACCTGAGACCAGGACTAATGTGAGAAGACTTCAGGACAGAGACCTGAGACCAGGACTAATGTGAGAGGACTTCAGGACAGAGACCTGAGACCAGGACTAATGTGAGAGGACTTCAGGACAGAGACCTGAGACCAGGACTAATGTGAGAGGACTTCAGGACAGAGACCTGAGACCAGGACTAATGTGAGAAGACTTCAGGACAGAGACCTGAGACCAGGACTAATGTGAGAGGACTTCAGGACAGAGACCTGAGACCAGGACTAATGTGAGAGGACTTCAGGACAGAGACCTGAGACCAGGACTAATGTGAGAGGACTTCAGGACAGAGACCTGAGACCAGGACTAATGTGAGAGGACTTCAGGACAGAGACCTGAGACCAGGACTAATGTGAGAGGACTTCAGGACAGAGACCTGAGACCAGGACTAATGTGAGAGGACTTCAGGACAGAGACCTGAGACCAGGACTAATGTGAGAGGACTTCAGGACAGAGACCTGAGACCAGGACTAATGTGAGAGGACTTCAGGACAGAGACCTGAGACCAGGACTAATGTGAGAGGACTTCAGGACAGAGACCTGAGACCAGGACTAATGTGAGAAGACTTCAGGACAGAGACCTGAGACCAGGACTAATGTGAGAGGACTTCAGGACAGAGACCTGAGACCAGGACTAATGTGAGAGGACTTCAGGACAGAGACCTGAGACCAGGACTAATGTGAGAGGACTTCAGGACAGAGACCTGAGACCAGGACTAATGTGAGAGGACTTCAGGACAGAGACCTGAGACCAGGACTAATGTGAGAGGACTTCAGGACAGAGACCTGAGACCAGGACTAATGTGAGAGGACTTCAGGACAGAGACCTGAGACCAGGACTAATGTGAGAGGACTTCAGGACAGAGACCTGAGACCAGGACTAATGTGAGAGGACTTCAGGAGAGTATAAAAAAGACAGTAATAATGAGAGAAACGGAAAGAAAATGGAAGATCAGAGACGGAATATTTGTTCATGTGGAGCTGTCATCACCTCTGCCTGAAAGCTCTGAGTCTGAGAGGGAGGAGAGAGGAGAGAGAGAGGAGAGAGAGAGGGGGGGAAGAGGGGGGAGAGAGATGGGGGGGGGGGGGGGAGAGAGAGAGAGAGGGGAGAGAGAGTGGGAAGAGAGGGGAGGAGGGGGGGGGGAAAGAGAGAGAGGAGGACTGAGGCTGTAGATCCAGGACTGAGGCTGTAGACCCAGGACTGAGGCTGTAGATCCAGGACTGAGGCTGTAGAACCAGGACTGAGGCTGTAGACCCAGGACTGAGGCTGTAGACCCAGGACTGAGGCTGTAGACCCAGGACTGAGGCTGTAGATCCAGGACTGAGGCTGTAGATCCAGGACTGAGGCTGTAGACCCAGGACTGAGGCTGTAGATCCAGGACTGAGGCTGTAGATCCAGGACTGAGGCTGTAGACCCAGGACTGAGGCTGTAAATCCAGGACTGAGGCTGTAGACCCAGGACTGAGGCTGTAGATCCAGGACTGAGGCTGTAGATCCAGGACTGAGGCTGTAAATCCAGGACTGAGGCTGTAGATCCAGGACTGAGGCTGTAGACCCAGGACTGAGGCTGTAAATCCAGGACTGAGGCTGTAGACCCAGGACTGAGGCTGTAGATCCAGGACTGAGGCTGTAGACCCAGGACTGAGGCTGTAGACCCAGGACTGAGGCTGGAGACCCACAGACGGAGGGTCCAGTCTCATCGGTCTGTTGGGGACCGTTAGCTGTCGTGGCTAATTAGCGTCCCCTGGTTCTTAGGTGCCATGGAGCAGTGAAGTGTCGGACCCTAGTGGACAGATGCAGCATGCTCTGCGTCCGTTCGCTGCACAGTAATGATACAGACTGGGAAGCTAAAGGCTGCTCTGTAAATGTCTCTGTTGATGTCTCTGTGGGTCTTCTGCGTAGGTTTCCTCCAGGTGCTCCGGTTCCCCCTCCTCCTGTATTTGACCTACTGCAGACTGTCTGTGGATGCTAAATAAATAAACACCTGTCACTTACACTTATGTGTGTCTGTGTTTGTGTGTGTGCGTGTGTGTATGTGTGTGTGTCTGTGTGTGTGTGTGTGTATGTGCGCATGTGTTTGTGTGTGTGCGTGTGTGTGTGTGTGTGTAGACTCCATGTGAAACATTCGCAGCAGGTGTCAATGATCAGCAGCAAGTCTCTGTGTCCTTGTCCTGCACCTGCTCCATCACCTACAGACCATCTGTCTCGAGAGAGACCAGAGAGAGACCAGAGAGAGACCAGAGAGAGACCAGAGAGAGACCAGAGAGAGACCAGAGAGAGACCAGAGAGAGACTAGAGAGAGACCAGAGAGAGACCAGAGAGAGAGAGACCAGAGAGAGACCAGAGAGAGACCAGAGAGAGACCAGAGAGAGACTAGAGAGAGACCAGAGAGAGACCAGAGAGAGACCAGAGAGAGACCAGAGAGAGACCAGAGAGAGACCAGAGAGAGAGAGACCAGAGAGAGACCAGAGAGAGACCAGAAAGAGACCAGAAAGAGACCAGAAAGAGACCAGAAAGAGACCAGAGAGAGACCAGAGAGAGACCAGAGAGAGACCAGAGAGAGACCAGAGAGAGACCAGAGAGAGACCAGAGAGAGACCAGAGAGAGACCAGAGAGAGACCAGAGAGAGACCAGAAAGAGACCAGAAAGAGACCAGAAAGAGACCAGAAAGAGACCAGAAAGAGACCAGAAAGAGACCAGAGAGAGACCAGAGAGAGACCAGAGAGAGACCAGAGAGAGACCAGAGAGAGACCAGAGAGAGACCAGAGAGAGACCAGAGAGAGACCAGAGAGAGACCAGAGAGAGACCCTATAGTGTCTTCAAAGTTTCACTTCCTTCCTTTTTCTCTTTGTTTGGACATTGTTCCTATAGGAGCAGAGTCTGTAGGAGCAGAGTCTGTAGGAGCAGAGGAGCAGACAGTGGCTCAGTCTCAGAGCATTGGGCTTTGAGCCTGAGGTTGTGGGTTCTATCCCACCACGAGACCTACTCCACTGATGACTGCTGCAGTTGTGTCCTTGGGCAAGACACATTACCTCACTTTGCCTGAAGCCCCCTCTAGTCAATGCTATACTGTCACAGACCGAGAAGCTATCCTCCTGCAGTGAGGAGCAGGAGGAGCAGGAGGAGCTGGAGTAGCAGTGAGGAGCAGTGAGGAGCAGGAGGAGTAGTGAGGAGCAGTGAGATGCTGAGGAGCAGGAGGAGCTGGAGTAGCAGTGAGGAGCAGTGAGGAGCAGGAGGAGCAGGAGGAGCAGTGAGATGCTGGAGGAGCAGTGAGGAGCTGGAGTAGCAGTGAGGAGCAGTGAGGAGCAGTGAGGAGCTGGAGTAGCAGTGAGGAGCAGTGAGGAGCAGGAGGAGCAGTGAGATGCTGGAGGAGCAGTGAGGAGCTGGAGTAGCAGTGAGGAGCAGTGAGATGCTGGAGGAGCAGTGAGATGCTGGAGGAGCAGTGAGATGCAGGAGGAGCAGGAGGAGCTGGAGTAGCAGTGAGGAGCAGTGAGGAGCAGGAGGAGCAGTGAGATGCTGGAGGAGCAGTGAGATGCAGGAGGAGCAGTGAGGAGCTGGAGTAGCAGTGAGGAGCAGTGAGATGCAGGAGGAGCAGGAGGAGCTGGAGTAGCAGTGAGGAGCAGGAGGAGCAGTGAGATGCTGGAGGAGCAGTGAGATGCTGGAGGAGCAGTGAGATGCTGGAGGAGCAGTGAGATGCAGGAGGAGCAGTGAGGAGCTGGAGTAGCAGTGAGGAGCAGTGAGATGCAGGAGGAGCAGGAGGAGCTGGAGTAGCAGTGAGGAGCAGTGAGGAGCTGGAGTATCAGTGAGGAGCAGTGAGGAGCAGGAGGAGCAGTGAGATGCTGGAGGAGCAGTGAGATGCTGGAGGAGCAGTGAGATGCTGGAGGAGCAGTGAGATGCTGGAGGAGCAGTGAGATGCAGGAGGAGCAGTGAGGAGCTGGAGGAGCAGTGAGGAGCAGTGAGGAGCAGGAGGAGCAGTGAGATGCTGGAGGAGCAGTGCAGGAGCAGGAGGAGCAGTGAGGAGCTGGAGTAGCAGTGAGGAGCAGTGAGGAGCAGGAGGAGCAGTGAGATGCTGGAGGAGCAGTGCAGGAGCAGGAGGAGCAGGCTGTAGAAACTGTTTTATCAGAAGGAGTCGGTCTGAGCTCAGTAGAATTTTACATTCATAGTCTCTGCTCTCATTCGAGCTCTGTGATTGGTCCTGGCTTTCGAGCTCTGTGATTGGTCCAAGCCTCTTCAAGAGCACACAGCAGAGTGAATACAACTAATTACAACCAGATGTAACACACACCACACACACACACTATACACACTGTACACACACTACACACACTATACACACTGTACACACACTACACACACACTATACACACTGTACACACACTACACATTCTATACACACACACACACACACACACACACTGTACTCACTGTCCACACGCTACACACATATACACACACTCTAAACACACACTATACACACTGTACACACACTACACACAAACACACACTGTACACACACTACACATACAATACACACACACTATACACACTATATACACACACACTATACACACTGTACACACACACTATACATTCTATAGACACACTATACACACACACACTATACACACTGTACACACACTACACACACTATACACACACTACACACACACTATACACACTATATACACTATACACACCATACACACACTACACACACTAAACACACATGGAGCTCACTGATGCTCATGTCCCTGTGCTACAGACTCAGGAGTTCTTTTTGAAAGCACCTTCAGGATGGACACGCAAATTCATTCAGTCATCAAAGCGTCTTTTAGCTCCGGGTCTCGAGCAAAGTGAAGGTTCACATCCCACTGACTCTGAGCCAGTTATCCACCTTTTTATTTCATCTGAGCTCATTAAAGCGACTTCAGCAGGTGATCAGAGGGACAGAGAGAGCACAACACCCCTGTGCTGGCCTAACTTCACTGGCTCACAGGTACAGAGCACATCACCCCTGTGCTGGCCTCACTTCACTGGCTCACAGGTACAGAGCACATCACCCCTGTGCTGGCCTAACTTCACTGGCTCACAGGTACAGAGCACATCACCCCTGTGCTGGCCTCACTTCACTGGCTCACAGGTACAGAGCACATCACCCCTGTGCTGGCCTAACTTCACTGGCTCACAGGTACAGAGCACATCACCCCTGTGCTGGCCTCACTTCACTGGCTCACAGGTACAGAGCACATCACCCCTGTGCTGGCCTCACTTCACTGGCTCACAGGGACATTCAGGGTTGATTTTAAGATTCTGATGCGTGTTTTCATATTTACTCCAAAATGGCGCCTCGTACGGTTGCCACGGCTCTTTACTGCTCTCTTTTTCTTTTGTTTTTACTTTTTAACTGTGCATCTGAGGAGCAGGAGGAGCAGGAGGAGCAGTGAGATGCTGGAGGAGCAGTGAGGCTCTTACTCGGATGATCCTGGGAGCTATGCTGTCTGGGGCTTCATGCCCCTGGTAGGGCCTCCCATGGCAGACAGGTCTCAGGTGACGAGTCAGACGAAGAGCAGTCCAAAAACCACCATGGACAGCACGATAAATAGACCAGTGACGTCGCCCGGCATGGCGCAGCCGGGGCCCCACCCTGGAGCCAGGCCTGGGGTCGGGGCTCGTATGCGAGCGCCTGGTGGCCGGGCCTTAGCCCACGGGGCCCGGCCGGGCTCAGCCCGAAGGGATGACGTGGGCAGTCCCTCCTGTGGGCCCACCACCTGCAGAGGGGTCCGTGGTGGCGCGGTGCTGAGAGGACTGGGCAGCAGACCCAGTCCGCACACCCAACATCTGGCTCTTGGGACGTGGAACGTCACCTCACTGGGGGGGAAGGAGCCCGAGCTCGTGGGGGAGGTTGAGCGATACCGACTAGAGATAGTCGGCCTCACCTCCACACACAGCTTGGGCTCTGGAACCCAACTCCTTGAGAGGGGTTGGACGCTCCACTTTTCTGGAGTTTCCCGCGGGGAGAGGCGGCGAGCTGGGGTGGCCATACTCATTGCCCCCCATCTCAGCCGCCACGTGTTGGAGTTCACCCCGGTGAATGAAAGGGTCGCGTTCCCTCCGCCTCCGGGTGGGGGACAAGTCAAGTCAGGAATTCGACCAACGACCACTTCCTAAATAATGTCCTAAGTCCACAGAGCGGCTCAGGTTCATGACCACCGCTGCTGTCTGCCACATCAGGCCTACAATCTAGAAGCCTCCCAGAACAACTACTGACCCATTTTAACCGAAATAAACTATATTTTAAAACAGTGATGCATACATAGGAACACCACTTAGTGAAATAATAATAGTAAATGAAGAATGAAACCCTTTTATATCTTTAAGTCTAGAATTACATACAGCCACATGAGCTTTCAATAATTACAGGCTATATTGGAATAATCACATTTAAAAGTGACTATAGTTTGTGCGTCCAACAACAGAAAAGTGTCCCAGAAGTTGTCTGACACATCTGTGTCCTTGAATTAAAAGAACGTTCTAAGCCTGAATCATAGTAAGATGGATTTTTACTACCAGACCCTGAAAGCTCCGCCACTATCCAAGCTCTCTATCATCTTTTGATAAACAAGACCACTGTTTAAGGTGCTAAACTGTAATGATGTGAAATAATACATTATGGATCAATAACATATACAACCGGTGCAGCTCCCTCTGTGTCATCAGGAGGAACTTGCTCCCACAGTTATGTGACGAACACACATCACACAGCGCGCGCCATGAGGATCCCTGAGGTTTAAATGAAGGACACTCACCTGAGAGAGTAGACGTCTCCCGTGAGGACACCGCAGTCCAGCACACAGCACAGACACACTTGTAGTCACCAGATTACATTACGACTCAGCTCCAATCATGAGAAGGGAGGGGCGGAACTCAGCGCTGGATGCCACCACGATCACAGTCAGGTCTCTTGAGAGTCTACAGTCACACCAACCTGTATACAGACGTTAATATAAATAGATAGAGTCTGATCAGGAACTTGAGCAGTTGTGAGGACTGACCATACTTCCTGCAGTTCCTCACAGCAGGGATCAGTCTCCTACAACCTTCTCAGACGTGTGTACTTCTTTGGGTCCAGTTCTCCAGGACCTGGTCTGACACCTGCAGCAATGTAGGCCAGAGCAGAGCAACTGAACACAGACAGTTCGTCTGCTGAGTCCCTTCCAGACTTTCAGGAGAAGCTGGACAGTCTGCAGGAGAGACTGGTCCTTCATCTCCATCAGACAGTGGAAGATGATGATGCTTCTGTCTGAAGACTCCTCCTCTGATTCTCATCTCTTTGGAGTTTTTCAATGACTATTGTGGATTCTGACTGTTCCACTGGAATTCAGCAGCCATTTTAAAAGTCCTCCTGTTGGAGTCCAGACTGAAGGCCAATGAGGAAGCACACAAACAGTCCAGAGCGACCGTTTGAACCACTCAGGGATTTATCCAAGAGACTTTCTGATAAACTCACTTGTACACTTACCTGTGGATCTGAGTCTTTTTCACAGAGAAACTACTCAACGACTTGCATGTCACTTCCAAAGCAGTGCAGCAGTAAACCGCTGCCAAAACTCCTGGATCACTCATAAGGACGAAGCTGTAGACAGATTGGGTTGAAGACAACACTTTCATGTTGAAGATCTCTGTACAGAGTCCTGATTAGACCGCGGCTCGTCAGGGTCCAGTCCCACCTGCTCCAGGTCTGCCTGGTAGAACAATAATGTTTACCTTGCAGCAGAAGTTCAAAGGCCATCTGCCCAGCATCATGGAGGAATGTCTGCTTCTGTCCGACATCCACTGTTGTATCTTGTCTCTCATTCCGCTTCTGAACCTGACCAACCCAAAACTGCTTTACCTGAACGGCCGTCACGGCTCTCGGTTGGTCTTATCTCTATCTGTAGGTCTGCACCATAGGAAGCCAGCGTACATGTCGCTGAGATCTGGGGCAGCGCGAGCGCGACTTCGATCGTCTCACATGTGGTCCCAGGACGGTGGCGTTGGAGCCAGCAGAGATGGGGCTGATGACACATTGATGTGGAGGCTGCGGGAGCTTCTGATGTGGGACAGGACTGTCCTTACAACTGCACTACATTCGGTGAAACCTCTTCCTGAAGTACTGCTCCTTCTGACGCTCAGTGATGAAGCCTCTGACCTCTAGTGACTCCTGTGCACACTCTGTGCTGGGATCTGATTGAGGCTGCTGCTGGTCGGAGGAGATCCATATAAGACAGTAGGAAGCAGAGTCCTCGATGAGGGTATCACTATCACACACGACTCTGATTCTCTGTGTGACCTCAGAGATGAGCTCCCAGTCCAAAGTCCAGACCCAGTCAGCTCTCGTACCAGATCCGTCTAAGGATGAAGAGGAGTTTAGGAGACACGACAGATGAGTGAGTGGAGAGAGAGTCTGTGGACACAAGAACATGACAGTTACCAAGTCATACATGATGAATGCAGAGCAGATTCGAGCATGGATGATCATGTTGACATCAGTTTGACACAGGAAGAAGTGTCATTTTATAACGTTATTATTAGTTTCCCTGATTCAAACTCCATCATCTCGGGCTGGGAGAAGTTCTCAGTTGTGATTAAATGTCACTAATAATAAATGTTGAAAGTAAAACACTGTGAACTGGACTGATAGCAGAAGAAAAAGCACCTGTTTTTTTCCTGCGCTGATGGAACACTTGTATGAGCTCATCAACAGTCGCGCTGCCCCTTTCACCAGGATACATCTCTCAGAAGGACAGCGGCACCACTCAGCTCCATCTCCTGTTTTCTCTGAGCCCTGAGCCCAGTTCAGAACAGAAACGTATTTACAACTGAGAAGGTCTATCCCCACTCCAGCCACTCACAAGGTCAGCACTGCTCTGATGACTGGGCGCCCCTGCTTAGCTCCTCAGTGGCATGCTTTAAAGTATGTCCTGACACCTGATGAGGTTTCCTGCACCGTCTTCTTGAGATTTCCTCAGCCTCTCCTCCTCATGCTGGGCAGTCTTCATGGAGAGTTCCTCACCTCTGCTCCTCAGCTAGGGCAGTCTTCTTGAGAGTTCCCTCAGAGCCCCCTCCTCATGCTGGTGCTGTGGTGTGATTCACCTGAGGCCCTCTGTGATGGTACTGCTCCAGTGAAGATGCTGTGTCAAGGATAGTTCCTGCTTCCTCTGGTTCCCTCGGCCACCACTTCCCACATCTGCTGATTCACAGCACGCATTGTCTTATGACCTGCAGAAGCATCTGAGCTCTTCTTCTGTGAGAGGAATGCAAGACTAACAGTTTTAATCATGAGTTCTTTATATTAATTCTATTCAGCATGTTTTCATTATAGCTATTCCCCTGACTACCAGATCACTTTTTAATCTGTGAACGAGAGCTAAAGTCTCATCAAGTTTACTTCAGCTTTAGTGGAACAGTGCATCCAGAAAGTAATCAACACCTTCATGCAGTGGACTATTTGAACCACTATGTACATTGGGATGTCTTTGTGTCTTAGATTCTTAACCAAACTGCAAAGAATCCCTAAAAAACATCTTAACTTTGTCATAGATATTCCTGAGTACGATTGACAGAAAATGACAACCGATGAAGATTACAACTTATAACTCATGCAAAATTAGGATGCAACCGATATGAACACTTTGGCCGATTTTGATCTCCGATATTAATGTTCTATTATGGCCGATAAACCAGTATTTGCTAGATACGATGTTTATAAAATAATAATAATAATAATCTGAGATGATTAAATTTTGAGTACAAGACTGAATTTATATTCTCTATTTTCAGAATGTATTTTATTTTATTTAGAATGGACGATGTGGGAAAAGGCACACAGGAGTTTTGTGGCTCTTATTTGAGTGAAACTATCTTTAAAGCAGCGTATGTCGATAGTTATAAAAAGAGTAATGATAAAAATAAGACAAGAAAAAATAGTCCCCAATACAAATTGATAACAGATAAAAACAGAAACAGGTTTAACATAGTATTAAAAGTGGTACATTTCATGCTATAATCATACTGTTTTGTTCATAAAGAGATTTAGAGTTCTGTAATCAGAGTATCCTCTAGCAAGCCTGAACATGGCATTGATGAACATCCGCTGAAATCGATATTTATACCAATACATCGTGCTTCCCTGTTGAAAATGATAAAAAAGGTGAAAGAGGTGGAATACATACAGGAGCAGGTGTCAGACGGATGTCCACGTATCGTTATATTCGATTAAAACAGGATGAAATGTTTCTATAATAGAGGAGAGAGAGGATAAAGGTACAGCACACGTATTTTTACACTTGTTACCAAAAGAAAAACATCTAAATGAACCTTAAAGAATATTCTCCTCCACTATAATTGTAAATAGTTGTTAAAGGAATAGTTTATTAGTTAGAATTCTCCGGAGAGAATTTAGTGCGCGGACGTAGCGCTCCTAACTATCTCTCCGGAGACTTCATCTCTCGCTGCTACTGTGGGTACTACAAGTCACGCTGCAACTATTGGACGGAAGTGAGCGAGATGAGCAGTCTCCGGAAGATAAGTTAGAGCATCGGACGTATCCACCCTCGAGATTACTACGCCTCACACTATAGTACCCTTTTTATCCGCAGAGAAAATCGACTGTTACATTTCTGTGTTACTAACTTTGCATTGAACACACACGTAACTAACATACATTTCAATAGGGAACACTTGGAAGAGTTTGGTAGCTTCTAGCGGAGCTACCATTGGGTACTAACCGTGACCAGAGGCGGCTGGCTTTTTGTGCTCCCGTTTTTGCTCCCGTTTTGCATGACAGAGCGAACGGACTAGACCAGACAGGACGTATTAACTAGTCAAAGTAGGTAAGAACATATGGTCAGTATGTAAAACGGTGAACTATTCCTTTAAAGGCTTAAATTGTAGACCTAAAATGTCCATGAGCGCTGGAAGTCCCCGTGTGAATGCACCATCATCAACACACCCACACAGAAGAGACAAAAAGGACATGCAGATCGGATTGTGATCTCACCAGTGGAATACTAAAACGTTGCCACCCTACTTTAACTGCGTGGCTCTCGAGAGTTGACTGTAAATATGATCTCCAACGTTAGAATGAGAACAAAGAACTATCTTTAAAGCCTTTTACTTGCATATTCGTATATATCCTGTGTCGTCAACAAATCAAAAACCCCCAACCTAGATGGAAACATTACTGCAGTAAAAAACAAAAAATTTTTTACAAAAGTAACAACAGTACTTTGAACTGAGTGCATTGTGTGATTTTCTACCTCTGTCATGACACAGGAAACAGACCAACCTGTGTATCGCTCTTGGGCTTGGAGCCCTGAGGTCTTTGGCCCTGAGGTCTTGGCCCTGAGGTCTTGGAGCCCGAGGTCTTGTGTCGCCCTAGGATTGGCCCTGATGTCTTGGCCCTGAGTGTCTTTGGCCGTGAGTTCTGGGTCCATGAGGTCTTTGGCCTGAGGTCTTGGGCTCTGCGAGGTCTTGGTCCCTGAGGTCATGGGCCCTGATGTCTTGGGCCGTGAGCTTGGTGTCCTGAGTCTAGGGCCCTGAGGTCTTGGGTGCCTGAGTCTTTGGTCCTGAGTCATGGGTCTGAGGTCTTGGGCCTGGGGCTGGAGTCCAGCATTAGATGGGGGGGATGAGGTTTTTCTCTGTACAAAAACATTGGCTATTAGAGTCTGTAATGGTTTATTAAAAGTAGGGGGGGGGGGGGGGGGGGTGGGTGGAGTTAAATAACATTGATAGACTTTTGTTGTGTATTAAAGGTGAAAGTTGTATGTGATGTTTGACCTACGAGTGTAACTGTAGGACATCTGGTACCTTCAGTCAGTGTCTACAGAGCTCCAGGATCAATGGTTCCTGTATGTTTCTGGTGCGGGGTCCCACAGCAGAAGAAACACTCCTAAACACTGGATCCTACAGCAAGTTACAGACCACACGTGATGAACTGAAGCACCCTGAGCACATGCAGCTCTCACTACAAGTCAAATGTGCCAACAAACACACTTTATTTCAACAAAGCACATACTAAAATACACACGTTCCATTTGTCTAAGGACCATGACCCCTCTTTTCACATGTGATCGTTCATGTTTTCATCCACTGGTGAATTCTATGACAAAGCCTCACTCTGTCCAGTCGTAAACTTTAAATAAAAATGTAATCTAAAGTCAGATCAGGTTAAGCGCGTGTCTGACCAAACGCTTCAAAAAGCTTTTGACGCGCTTCAGCTGACGCCAAGCTAGTTTTGTCATTTTTGGTGCTTGAAGCTTTTGACGCATGACGCGCCTGACGCCGGTGGGAGGAGCTTCTCTGTTTGATCTGTAAGTTCGGACAGCGATGGATTTTTCAAATGAGCAGCGAGCCTTTATTTGAGTTATAAAAAGCACAATTAACAATGTTTGTAGGGCTTATCAACAAACCAATGATCTGGGTTCACACAGACTTGAGAGGCTAGCAGTTTTCGCAGAGTTTCCGACATTTACTCCAGGAGCTGCTTACGGAGGAGTTACGCTTTCAGCGGAACTTCCGCATGTCACCACCGCCCAGTCTCGAGTTACACAAACGCCCGAGCTCGCCTCTCCCCGCCTCGCTCTCGCCTCTCCCCGCCTCTCGCTCGCCCCCCCTGCCTCTCCCCGCTCTCGCCTCGCCCTACCCTCTCCCCGCATCAGCTCTCGCCTCTCCCTGCCTCTCCCCCAGGCTCTCGGCTCTCTTTCTCCCAGCCATCACCCCGGCTCTTGCTCTGAGCCAGACTCATCGTCATAGCCTGTTCTTATATTAAATAAAACTACATTTACTTACACAGCAAGTTATTTCGATGATTTTTGTTTACTCAGAACGTTAACTACTCATACAAATAATATTACTAATAACATAATGACAAACAAAACAGCACAACAGATACATGACTTCTCCTTCATACAGAGACAGACCCCTTCTGCTGCTGCAACCTACGTCTCCTGATTGGTTGAAGCACGCTCAAAGCTTCAAAAGCTCCAGCTTTGCTCAGCTTCGCGTCAAAGGGATTGTTTTTGATACGCGGAGCGTTTCGCCGTGTCAAAGCTTCAAGGAGCGCGTAGTACTTTTGAACATTGACGCGCGCCAAGTAGACGCCGGGGGCCTTCGGCTTCACCTGACCCACGCTTCACCATTCACTTCAATGCAAACCTGACGCTTTTTTACGCCGACGTTAAGTCCCGGTGTGAACGCCCCTTTATAGTTTCCTATTGGTTCTCACTTTGAGTGGATTGAAGATGCAGCTTCAAAATGAACTCTGGTGGCGATTCCACATAGACCGTCACTCCTTCATGTACACAGCACTGACACTGAGGATCTTTTTGAGAGAAAGACCCATGTACTCTGGGTCCCTAGGTTACACACCATCAACAGAACAGGTAAGAATTGTTTTTTTAAAGCATTACGAATAGGACTAAAGACAGGCCGCGAGGAGACACAAGAGAGAGACTAAGAGAGAGATAAGATACAGTATGAACCAATACGAGAGAGACCAATGGAGGACCAGGAGAGAAACCATAAACCATGTTATTTCAAGAAATTCCACAAAGAAAACAACTGAAAGAATAGATAGAGACTCCAAATAACACTATTATTTCTGTTATTAATATGAGAGAGAGGTAGTTCCACTGGAGTACTCTCTCATTGGTCTCATCCTCCTTTCTTGTCACACTCTTTCTCTCTCTGGTCTCTCTCTGTCTGTCAGATTTAGTCCATCGTAACTGCATTAAAACACATTTCTTACCTTTCTGTTGATGGTTGAACCATGGACCGAGAGTAACATGGTCTTCTCTCCACAACACGAGAGATCCTCAATGTCCAGTGCTGTGTCCCAGCGAAGAGTGACGCGGAGCGTCTATTGTGGAATCCACCAAGGTTCATTCTTGAAGCTGCTTCTACAAACCCACATTGAGAACAAAGGCCACCAGCTAAAGGGGCGTTCCAAAAAGAGTACCCTAGACACCGGACGTAACTTCGGCGGTCAAAGCGCAGGTTTGCATAGAAATGAATTGGTGAAGCGCGTCAGTTGAAGCCCGAGATCCCCGGCGTCACATGCCGCGTCAAAGCACTCCAAAAGTACTACCTCGCCACACCTTGAAGCTTTATGACACGCGAAACGCCTCGCAGTATCAAAACAAAGCCCTTTGACCGCGAAGCGGAGGTCTAAAGCTGAGCATATTGGCAAGCTTTTGCCGCGGGCATTCAACCAATCAAGGAACAGAGCAGCACAGCAGCGGGTCTGTCCTCTGTCATGAAGAGAAGTCATGTATCTGTGCTGCTGTTTATTGTTTGTTGTCATTATGTTATTAGTAATAATTATTTGTATGATAGATACCTTCTGAGTACAAAAATCTAAGAACACCTGCTGGAGAGTAGTAAACTGTTTAATATATTTAATATAAGAACAGGCTGAACCGATGATATCTGCTCAGAGCAAGAGCACGGTGGTGGAGAAGGCATGAGAAAAGAGCTGATAGCCGTGGAGATTCAGGTTAGGCAGCGCGCGGCGGGGAGATCGAGCGAGAGCCGGGGAAAGCAGGGAGATGTCGAAGACGACGAGAGCGGTGTAGAGGCGAGAGCGAGCGGGGAGAGGCGAGCTCCGGGTTTGAAACTCAACTGGGCGTGTGACATGCGGAAGTACCTGCTGAAAGCGAAACTCTCCGTACGCACTCCTGGAGTAAATGACGGAACTCTGCAAACACAGCAGCCTCTCAAGTCTGTGGTGAACCCCGACATGTTTGTTGAAGCCCTACAACAATATTATTTTGCCGTCTTAATATAACAAATAAAGGGCTCGCTTGCATCCATTATGACAACTCCAACGCTGTCCAGACTACAGACAACAGAGAATCTCCCCCACGGCGTCAGGCGCGGTACACTCGCTCAAAAGTCTTCAAGCACCAAAAAGACAAAACTACTTGCGTCAGCTGAAGCGCGTCGTAACAGCTTTTTGAAGCTTTGGTTCTGACGCGCCTTATACACAGATCTGACTTTAGATACATGTTAAATTTAAAGTTTACGAGACTGGACAGAAGTGAGGCTTAGTCAAAAGAATAACCAGTTGGATTTTAATAAACATGAACATCACGATGGTGACAAGAGGGTTCACTGTCCATGACAATGGAACGTGTGTATTTTCGTAATGTACTTTTGTGAAATCAAGTGTATATTGTTGCACATTTGACCTTTGTATGAGAGCTGCATGTGCTCATGGTGCTTCAGTCATCAACACAGTTGGACTGTACCATTCTTTAGGCTCCAGTGTTAGGAGGTGTTTTCTCGGGGGGGGGGGGGGGGGGGGGGGGGGGGGGGGGGGGGGGGGGGGGGCAGTGGGACCACCCTGCAACCAGAAACCCAACAGACCCATTGAACCTGAGAGCTCTGCTTAGGAACACAAGATCACAAGGTACCATCTGACACCTGCTACACTAAAAAAAAAAAAAAAAAAAGGGGGGGGGGGGGGGGGGGGGGTGGGGGGGGGGGGGGGGGGGCGGGGGGGCGAGTCAAACACACAACAACATCACCTTTACTACACACAACATTGGAAAAAAGACTCATCAAAGTTATTTAAATACCTTTTAATAAACCATTACAGCTCTAAGATCAAATGATATTATTGTCCATAGAAAACTCACTTCTGTATCTCGCAGCCCCAGGGCCCTAGACTCATGACCCAAGACCCTCAGGACCCAAGACCTTCAGGACCCAAGACCTCAGGGCCAAACCTCAGGACTCCAAGACCTCAGGCCAAGACCTCAGGGCCCAAACCACAGGGCCCAAGACCTCATAGCCCAGACCCAGGCCCGCAAAGACCTCAGACCACCAAGACCTCAGGGCCCAAGACCTCAGGGCCCAAGACCTCAGGGCCCAAGACCTTCAGGGCCCCAGACCTCGAGGGCCCAAGACCTCCTGGGCCCAAGACCTCAGGCCCAAGACCTCAGGCCCAAGCCTCAGAGCGACACACAAGATTTGTCATGTTTTCCCAGTTTTTATGACCAGAGATGCGAAAACCCACACTGCACTCAGTTCAAAGAACTGTTTGTTACTTTGTAATAGTTTTAACTGCAGAAAATGTTTCCATCTAGATTATAATGTGAACCGCACACAGGATATAAACAAATGCAAGTAAAGGCTTTAGAAGATAGGTCTTTTTCTCCATCTAACGTTTAAGATCAGAGTATTTAACAGTTCAACTCACGGAGCGCCACGCAAGATAAAGTGAAGCAACGATATTAGTAGCACATCACCATTGAGAACACAAACTCGATCCTCACGTCCATTTTTTTGTCCTTATGTTTGTGTTGTTTGAAGAAGGTGCATTCCGACAACGGAGCGACCTTCAGACCCTCATGGACATATCATATGGTGCACCTTCTAAGCCTATTAAAGGAAAGTTCACTCCGTTTACATACTGCATATTTCTTACCTTACCTTAGACTAGTTAATAACGTACCAGTATGTCTTAGTCCGTTCGCTCTGTCAGGCCAAACGGAGCAAAAACGGAGCACAACCGCAGCCTCGCTCTGGCGTCACTGTATAGGTACCCAAAAGGTAGCTTCCGCTAGAACTACCAAACTCTCCAAGTGTTCCCTCTTAAATGTCTAAAGTTTACGTTACCCGTTGTTACACTGCCAAGTATAGTAACACAGAAATGTAACAGTCGATTTTCTCAGCGGATAAAACGGTTACTATATTGTAGGCGTAGTAATCTGAGGTGCGCTACCGTACGCGCACTAACTCTCTCCGGAGACTTCTCTCTACGCTCACTTCCGTCAATAGAAGTCAGCGTGACTTGTAGTACACACAGAAGCAGCGAAGAGAAGTCTCCGGAGAGAAGTTAGGAGCGCTACGTCGCGCACTACACTACTCTCCGGAGACTTTCCTCAAAACTATTCCAAAACAACTCATTCACAAATATAGTGAGGAGAATTTACATACGGCCATATAGATGTTTTTTCATTAGAGGCGAACAAGTGTAAAAATACTGAGTACTGTACCTTTATCATCTCCTCATTATAGAAACCTTTTCCCGTTTAAACTTGAATCTAACGATACGTGGACAACCAATCTGACACCTGCTCCTGAAAGTATTCCACCTATCTTCACTTTTATATCTTTGTTCAACAGTGAAGCACGATATATTGGTTATAAATATCGATATCAGCCGATTCATCAATCCATGTTCAGGCTTGCTAAGGCAACTCGATTACAGAACTCTAAATCATCTTTATGAAACACAATCAGTATTATTATAGCATCGACCTGAACCACTTTATAATACATATGTTCGCAACCTCTCTATTTTTTAATGTTATCAATTATTTTGGTGACTATTTATTCTTGTCTAATTTTTTAATCCATCTCTTTATATAAACTACTACATACGCTGCATAGAGGAAAGTTTACACTCAAAATAAGAGCCACAAAAACTCCTTAGTGCCTTTTCCCACACTGCGCCTTCTAACTACAATAAAAGATACATTCTGAAAATCAGAGCGCAATAAATTCAGTATGGTACAAACTTTTATCATCTCAGAAAATTATTAAAATTATTATTTTATAAACATCGTTACATCCGACAATACTGTTATCGGCCATAAATAGAAACAATAATCTTCGGATCCTCAAAATCGTCCAAAGAGTTCATATCGGAGCAGATCCCTAATTTTCATTTCTAACAGTTGTTCTAATCTCACCGGTTTTTCATTTTCCTAGTCATCTACTCCGAATACTCTATGACAAAGTATTAAGATGTTTTTAGGATTCTTTGTCCGTTTGGTGTTTAGAATCAAACACAAATAATCCCAAGTACATAAGTGTTCAAATAGGCCAAACTGCAAGAAGGTGGTTGAGTACTTTCTGGATGCACTGTGCCACTAAGCTAAGTTAAACTCTGCTGAACTTACATCTTTTCCAACAGAAAAAAGCGACTCTAGGAAACAGGGACATAAGCTCTAAATGATACATGCTGCATAGAAAACTACATAAAAGAAACACATGATTCAACTGTACGTCTGCATTCCTCTCACAGAAGAAGAGCTCCACAGAAGCTTCTGCAGGATCATAAACAGCGTCTGATCAGAAGATTGGGAGTGTGGCCGAGGGAACAGAAGGAGCAGGAGTACTCACTCGTGTACCAGCAATCTCACTGAGCTGTTACAACACCGAGGGCCTCAGTTGAACCACCACACCCAGCATGAGGAGCGATGCTGAGGGAACTCTCCAGAAGACTGCCAGCCATTAGGAGCACGGCTGGGGGACTCTCCATGAAGACTGCCATCATGAGGAGCAGAGGCTGAAGGGAACACCTCCAAGAAGCGACACCTGCAGGAAACCTCCATCAGGTTTACAGGACATCTTTAAAGCACTGCCCACGAGGAGTCAGCAGGGGGCTGCCACATCCAACAGAAGAGCAGTTGACTGACCTTGTGGGCGTGGCAGGAATGGGGACGACCTGTCACAGAAATTCCTGAAGTACTTCTGAAACTGGCCTCAGGCTTCAGAGAACCAGGAGCTGGAGCTGGGTGGTGGGCCGCTGTCCTTCAGAGAGATGAACCTGGTGGAAATGGCAGCGCTACAGTCCTATGCAAGCTCATACAAAGTGTTCCATATCCAGCAGCTGGAAACCAGGTGCTTTACTCTCTGCATCATTCCAGTTTCACCGTGCTATACTTTCACACATATATTATAGAGTAACACAACTGAGAACTTCTCCCAGCCCTGAGCTGATGGCGTATGAATCATAAACTAATAAAACGGATTATAAACACACCTTCAATTACCCTTGTGTCAAACAGATGTCCACATTAACATCAATGCTCAGAAACTGCTCATGCATACATCATTATGACCTTGTACAACTGTCATGTTCTTAGTGGTCCACAGACTCACTCGGACCACACTCTCAGTCCGTCTCAAAACTCCTCTTCACTTAGACGGCCGGGACGATAGCAGACTGGGGATCTGGACTTTGACTGTGAGCTCATCTCTGAGTCACACAGAGCTCAGTACGTCAGAGTGCTGATAGTGAACCCATCAAGGACCTGCTTCCTACTGCCCTTATATGTAATCACACCTCCAGACAAGCACAGCCAATCAGAGTCCCAGACAGCGTGTGCACAGAGTCACAGAGTCCAGAGGTCTGTCATCACTGCGCGTCAGAAGAGCATAACTTCAGGAAGATTTCCCCGATGAATAGCAGTGTACGACAGTCCTGTCCCCCATCCTACGCTCCCAGCAGCCTCCACAACATAGTAGCCGAATCCCATCTTCTTACTGGAGTCACCAGGCACACCGAGTCCTGGCCCCCAAGTTGATAACCGATCGAAAGCGCAGCGCTGCCCCCATACTCTCAGCGACCTGTGACGCTTGCTTCCTATTGTGTCAGACAAACTACAGATAGAGAAAATTACCAACCGCGAACTTGAGGCCCTTCAGAGATCTAGGTCAGGTTTTTGGTCTGGTCAGGGTTCAGAAGACTGAAACACAAGGATCCCACAGTAGGTGTCGAACAGAAGCAGACATCCTCCTGAATCTGGGCAGACTGGCAACTTTGAAACACATTCTGCTGCAAAAGGAAACATAATGTTTTCTCTCCAGGAAGACCTAGGAACGCAGGTGGGACTGGACCAGACCCGAGGGGCTGCGGCTCGGTCTACCTCAGAACTCCTGTACAGAGACCTTCAACAAAAAGTGTTGTCTACAACAATCTGGTCCTACCAGCTTCGTCCACCTGAGATGTCCAGTGAGTTATGGCAGCTGTTTACCTGCTGCCAACTCTCGTTGGAAGTGACATGCAATCGTGAGAATTTTCTCTGTGAAATACACAGGACTAAAGTTCAGTGAAAATTGAGTTTCTCAGAAAGTCACTGATAAATCCCGGAAGTGGTATCAAACGGATCGCCTGGCTCCTGTTGTGTGCCTCCTTCATATTGGCCTCAGTCTGTGACTCCGAGACCATAGACTTTTTAACAAGGTCTGCTGAACTCCAGTGGAAAAACCGTCCAGAAATCCACAAAGTCATTGAGAAACCTCAAGAGAATGAAGCGACAGGCAGAGGATGAGTCTATCAGACAAGAAGCATCATCATCTTCCACTGTCTTAATGGCGGATGAAGGACCTGTCTCTCCTGCAGCTGATCCAGCATCTCCTTGAAGTCTGGAAGGGACTCACAGACGAACTGTCAGTGTTCCATTGCTCTGCTCTTGCCTACAAGCTGCCGATGTCAGAATAACCAGGTCCTTGAGGAACTGGAACCAAAGAAGTACAGACACGTCTTCAGATAAGGTTGTAGAGACTAGATCCCTGCTGTGAGAACTGCAGGAAGGCTCCGGTCAGGCTCCCCACACACTGCTTCAAGTCTCCAGAACCGACTCTAAGCAAATGTAACATCTAACGTCTTGTTTCTACCGTGTGTTCGATGACATGTAGAACACTCATAGATACCGATCTGATGAAGTGGTGGCAATCAAGCGCTGAGGTTCCAGCCCCATCCCTTTCTCACTGAACTTTATCTGAGTCTTAATGAACTGAGTGACATCAAGAGTGTCTAGTGCTGTTTGCAGGACTATGCGGAGTCCCTCACTGTGAGCTCTCCTCTCTCAGTTATTGTCCATCATTAAACCTCCAGGATCCACATGTTTAGTCGCGAGAGCTTGGTATCCGTCCACATCACGTGTGGGAGCAAGTTCCTCCTGATGACACAGAGGGAAGCATCACCGCTAAACATGAACCATAATTTCTTATTCACCAATCATTACAGGTTTACACTAAACAGTGGTCTTGTTTTATCAAGATGTATAGAGCTTGTGAAGTGGGCGCGCTTCAGGTTCCTGAAGAAAAATCCCATCTTCCTATGAATTAAGGCTTAAGACTACTTTAATAAGACACAGCTGTGACAGACACATCAGCGGACACTATTTCTGTTGATTGTACGCACAAACTATAGTCACATTTTTTAAATGTGATTATCACAATATAAAGCCCTATAAATATA